GGCAGGAACTGAAGCAGAGACTACAGGGGAACACTACTCACTGGCCTGCTTTCTTATACAACTGAGGACCACATCTGCCCAGGGATAACAACTGCCCACAATGGGGAATAGATCACTAATCAAGAAAAAAAAGCACCACAGATTTGCCTCCAGGCCAATGTAATGAAGGAATTTTCTCAACAGAGGTTCCCTTTCCCCAGAGACTTCTAGCTTGGGTGAGCTTGGAAAAGAAAAAGAAAACCCATCCACTCACTGCTCACTGACCAGAACACCTGTTTCTACTAGTAAACCCGGATCCGAGAGCTCATCTCACAGAAAAACCAATGCCCAAAAGAGAAGAGCTGAAGAGAAATGGTTTCCTTGATGACCAGGGTAGGGAAGCAGAATCACTCTGCTGATGTCTGTCAGTGTCAAAAAATACATGGGATAAACAGTGTTTCTTTAGGACCACTGTTGGTACAATCACTCCAGACAACCCTTAAAATGGGTCACACTAATAGATCCAGAATTTAAAAAAATAAGAATTATGTGTGTGCAATCTAGGACAGATTTTTCAGCCATAAGCTGAAACTTATGCATGTGTTAGGGAAACGTATGCATACGTATGTCTTAGATGCTCTACACCAGGGTAAAGATACCTAAAAATCATTAGATATCCAAATGGGATTTAAAGCTCCAACCCTTTAATACAGCCCTTGGTGCTGTATATGGAAGTATCTGGTGTGATTGGACCCACCTGGAGACATATAGAGGATCAGTGCCTAAGACCATCTGAAATGTGTGTTTTCAGATGGTCTTAGGTACCTGTCAGTCAACCTCCACAGGGGTCAGGACCTACAATTGAGAACCAGCGCTCTATGAAGACAGATAATAGATGCTTGTGTTCTTAATGTTTAGTCCTCTGCCCTTCAGGGAGATAAACACACCACTTAACCAAAATGAAAACAGCTGCATGTACATGGCAAAAAGTGTATTGGATCCTTCTGACCTCTGCCTTCTGGGCAGATGTGTGCTGAGTGCACATTCACATCTTGTCCTGAGGTATGTGGGTCCATTTCATTGTCTTCCTCTTGGCAGGTGTCAGGGCCTACAACACCACAGCTTACTATGAAACATCGATAAACCTGTGACCCGCTCTGATACCTGTAACTCGGGATACAATGCAGCTAGAAAAGAACAGTCTGCTGGAGGTAAGGAAAGAGGCGCTGACATCACAGACCTCTGGTCAGGTTAAGTGTCTGGCCAGAGGAACAAGATTCGATTCTGGAGGCAGAAGCAGGTGGATCTTTGTGAGTTTGAAGTCAGCCTGGTCTACAGAATGAATCTAGGACAGACAGGGCTACACAGAGAAACCCTATTTTGGAAAGAAGAGAGGAGAAGAGAGGGAAGGGGAGGGGAGGGGAGGGGAGGGGAGGGGAGGGGAGGGGAGGGGAGGGAAGAGAAGAGAAGAGGAAAAGAAGACAAGAAGAGAAGAGGAAGTGCTTAGCAGAATGGCTAGCATCATAGCCCACGGTACGAAATATCGATGCTCTGAAAGCCAGAAATGAGGTTATAAACACCATAGAACAGAGTCCATACAAAATCCATTAACAGTCAAAGTTTCAAATGCATCAATAAAAGCTAAGTATTTGAGGCTGGGGAGATGACTCAGAGGCTAAGAGAGTGAGCCATTCTTGGAGAAGACCCAAGTTCGGTTTCTAGCACCCACAATGGGTAGCTTACAATTACCTGTAGCTCCGGTGCTAGAGGATCTGATGTTCACAGCAGGCACGCTCCCGTGTACCAACCCACACACAGAGCCATGCATACACACTTACATTCTTCTCCAAGTCTTTTAAGTTTAATCTATTTTTCTTTTATGTGTACAAATGTTTTGTCTGCATGTATATATGTGCACCACATGCATACCTGATACCTGCAGAAGCCAGAAGAGAGAATCAGATCCCCAGGAATTGGAGTTACAAATGGTTGTAAGCACCAATGTGGGGCCTTCGAGTCCAGGATGCTGCATGAGTCAAAAATGCTCAGAACCACTAAGCCATCTCTCCAGCCCTAAAAAATAATATTTATTCATTTACTTACTTATGTACTTGTTTATTTAGCATATATGAGTGTTCTGTCTTCATGCACACCAGAAAGGGAATCAGATCCCATTATAGATAGTTGTGACCCATCACATGGTTGCTGGGAATTGAATTCAGGACCTCTGAAGAACAGCCAGTAGTCTTAACCACTGAGCCATCGCTTCAGCCCTCCTAAAATAATTTTGTAACAGAAAAAAATAAATGTTTAATGTCAGCTGACTGTTAAAGTCTGGTTGATATACCAGGGATCACACAGTCTTAGTTACTTTTCTATTGCTGTGACAAAACGTCATGACCAACACAACTGACAGAAGAAAGAGTTGACTTGGGCAGAGCAAAGAGGCAGCAGCAGGAACAACTGAGCGCTCATGTCTCAAACCACAAGCAGGAAGTAAAACTAGCCTGAAACTGTGTTAACCTTTTGAAACTTCACTGGCAGCAAGCTTGGGCATGCTAAAGCCTCCTGTCACCCCCAGGGCACTCTCTCTGTCCACTGTTTGTGGATCAAGGTGTGAGCTCTCAGCTGCCTACTGCTGTACCCTCACTTTCACCATAGACTTTAACCCTCTGGACATGTAAGGCCAGTTTTTCTCATAAGTCATGGTGTTTTTATCACCACAACAGAAAAGCAATAAAAGTAGCTTTATAGTTAGAAATTAAATTAGCTGCATTCAAATCCTTTGAAACTGATAACATATATTTAAGGGTTCGATGTAATGCTTGCTGTATATTTACACAGTACATAGGCTAAATAAAGCATAGGCATGATCTCATAGTGACTTCTATTTTAAAGGCGCTACTTACCATATACTCCTTCAGGAATTTTGTGACATAAGATACAATATGGTAGGTCCACAAAATAAAAGCACTAAAATTAGAAACTACCATATCTTGGTCGATGAGAAGGCACAATTAGAAAAGGTGCTTGTTGCCAAGCCTGACCAGAATGACTTTGGTTACCACCTGGTGGAAGAAGGGGACCAGCTTCCAAAAATTATGCTCTGTTCTCTACATGCACGTCATAGCAAGGAGGCATATGCATGCATGCTCATACATACATACATACATACATACATACATACATATATGCATACATACACAAAGCATTTTTAAATATATTTACAAAGAAGTACCATATGACCCAGCAATCTGTTACTGGGTATATATCTAGTAGGCTAGCAGAAAGCCTAATGCCAGGAGTATGTTACTTCTTTTGGAATTGTTGGTCACTGAAGTCCCAAAAGCGCCCGCAACTTTATAAGCTAGTACTGGCGCTCGTGGCTACTCCTCCAGTCTTGATGGTAAGACCCTATTGCTGAAGATGCCATATACTTGAGTCATAGGACATGGAGAAATTGAGTTGGCCTAATGACCTGGAAGTTTCATCTCTATTGGCTAGTTTTCATAGGAAGGTACTAAGCATGCTACTGGAGGACTGAGGAAGTTGTATTTAGGTGTGTGTGTGTGTGTGTGTGTTCATGGAGGAAAAAGAAGAGGGAAATGATGTAATCACCCTAATTTTTTAAAGTAATCCTCCTTCCCTCTCTCCCCATAAAAAAGTCTTCACCCTCTACAATACCTCTATTCTTCTTCTAAGTTTAAGTTACAGCTTCAGGTCTTAGAAGCCAGAGACTTTGGGCTTCAGGAACACTTGCTGCCCCTCTAGGGTCCAACTGCCTCCAACTCTGCATCCTGTGAAACTCTCTGCTTTTAAATATCAACAGCAACAGTCAGCCAGGGTTAGTCCCGAATAGTATTAGGGTCCTGGAGAACTTTCCTTCGAGACTCTCCACTCCTAACTACAGTGACCACATAATTATAGCTCTGAAGCAGTCCTGGCCAATCGTATCGGGCCCTCAGCCCTGAGGTGTGGGCAGCTCCAGTGACCACAGAGCCTTTATTTTTCACCTTTCACAGCCTTCCTCTTTCCAACCCTGGCTTTCCACCTCCTCCTTCCATCACCGCCCTTCCCCCTGTCACTCGCCACTGGGCCTCAGGAGCTGCTGGTGGTTGCTCTCCTAAGCCTTCACCTGTCTTCTTTCCCATAGCTGTTTGTTCCCATTGTTGTTTCCGGCTAAGCTGACGGTACCCATGATAAAGATCGCATGCAGGCAAGAAAAGACCATTCGGGGAATCCTTTGTATCAGACCTAATGTCGCAATACCATGGATGCAACATGAAAAATAACTGAACCATCTATATAGCCCGGAGAAGGACATGGTAAGGATGCATCATGTAAGTGAAGAATTGTATCTGCACCGATCCCAGCACAGCCTCTAGTTTCATGACACTGCCTCTTACTGCTTCCCTTCCTGCCCTAAATGAGAAGAGCTTCCGGGTCATCTAACAGTCGCCAAAGCCTATCTTGCTAGAGATACTGTCTTCCAAAGCTGGCAAGAGTTGTCTGCAGTGCTGGTTACGGCTGGAGCAAGGCCTCTGGATCGGAAGTCATTGCCTCAGTCGCCGTTATCCGTTCAGCTGGTTTGTGTCACAGGGCTTTTTAAAAAGTGTATAGAGCAGGGTGCTGTTTAATATCTTCCCAGATCTAAGCTGCCAAGCTTAAGGGAAGGGTCTGTCGGATAGAATCTATCCATTGCTACTCAAAGGTCTCACCAACCCGTCCTTGGGAGTTTTGCTCATTCATAGAAAGTTCCACCAAAAACTAACATTTTCAATAGCGTTTAACAACTCTCCATCCTGCTCCAGCACCGTAGGTCGCTTAGTCTCTGTCGCAGCTCTGGCCAGAGGTAACCTAATCATCCCTGCAAGAGAGCAAGGAATTCTGCCCGGTAGAATTATGATAGGCAGCCAGGGTACCAATGTTTGCCATAGGAGGCGGTATTTACGGTAACGGGACAGACTGCGCGGCGGCATTTACGGTAACGGGGGGGGGCCGAGCTGACCAAGGCCGGGCAGCTTGGTCAGCTCCGCCTGCTCGCAGCGTTCTCAGGTGCAAGCTTGCGCTTGGGACGTTCGGAGGATGCACAATGGCCCCTCGGGGCATTGAGGGGCTGTGGTCCCCCAGCCGGACCTACCGCAGCCACGCCCAGCAGCCGGCGCTCCCGGGTCCGAAGGCAGCACTGCCTCCCGCGTCGGCGGGAGCCCCGGTCTGACCCGCGGGGACTTGCCCACAACCGGCGTCCCAATGGGCCTGTGCTACAGCCTGCGGCCGCTGCTCTTTGGGAGCTCGGGGGACACCCCCTGTGCGGCTTCGGAGCCGTGCGCGGAGGATGCTCAGCCCAGCGCCACTCCTGTCCCTGCCCAGATCCCAGCCCCGGCTCCGGTGGGGACCCTGCTCCGGCGTGGCGGCGGCCGGATCTCCGCGAACGCGCGGCCGCCAGGCGAGCTGCAGAGCCGCCGGCGACAGGAGCAGCTACGAGCCGAGGAACGGGAAGCGGCTAAAGAGGCCAGGAAAGTGAGCCGGGGCATCGATCGCATGCTGCGCGAGCAGAAGCGCGACCTGCAGCAGACGCACCGGCTCCTGCTGTTGGGTAGGTTTGCACCGGTGGGCTCGGGAGCTGGGGGTTTGGGGCGGGACTCTGCCTTGGGGAATGTCAGGCGTGGGCACTGCAGACAGAATGACTTTCAGCCTGACATTTAAATGGCTTCGTCGCCAGAACGCTCCTGGATGATTTCGCTCTCTTCCATGCCTTGTGACCGAGGGCCAGTAGCTCACCGATTACTAATTAATGTGCCTCTCTGGGAAATTTCCGCCCTTGATCCATTGATTTCCGCAGCGTGAACTCCACCGGGACGTCTGATCCTAGCCCTCCATTTCCTGCCACAGTCCGGGCAGCTTAGTTTGTTCTAAGAACGCCAATGATAGGAGACTTAGAAAGCCTTTTAGTGGACCACAAAGCTTTTATTGAAAGCACAGTCTGAGAACCGGGCTGGGATGAATGTAGGGTGCTGGCTACTGAGAAACCGCATCCTTAGCCACCTAGTGTTATAAGTCGCACCGGTGACGTGGTGGGTGTTTGCTCGTCTCAGAACCAGGGACATAAGAGAGTGGCCTGGCCTGCCTGTTCCCACCCTGTACCCCGCCCCCAACCTCAATAGCCCCTCCCCAACTATGATAAAGTGGACATAAACCTGCCAGCACCTGGAGGTCCGCTGGTATTTTTCAGAGTTTTAGCATAAGCGTGCTCGTATTAACTAACAACTAGAAAACACTGTGCGATGAGTGTGCGATGAAAAGGGGAAATAGGTCATGAGGTCCTTGTGTCTGTGTGCATAGATTTGTAAGCACCAAGCCTTGAGGTTGCAGGGCTTCCCTGATGCTGGGATCCAAACGCAGGTCCTCATGCATGAGCATCAAAGGCCGTCTCTCCATCCTTTAAATCATAAAGTGTTGGCTTTGTTTTACAGATTTACCACATTTATTTAGGTGTGCTACACATGTGTGTGGAGGTCAGAGGACAACTTATGTGAGTCTGTTCTCTCCTACCAACCTGTGGTTCCCAGGAATGGAAGGCAAGTTACCAGGCTGGGAAAGTACTGTCCCTGAATCATAAATTCTTTGTTCTACATGCTGCCTTTTAAATTTCCAAGGGTGGGGAATGAAGACGTCAGAATCTGATCCAATTTTGTGAACTATCAGGTGGAATGGCTAGCATCTGCGCTCAGCTCTATGTAAGGGGCTATGCCATGAGAAGTAAAAACTGGCTTACAGAAGGACACAGCTCTTAAAATCTCAAGAACAAATGTTAAGTTTAAACAGGCTCACCCACTTTAAGAATGAATAGTTGAAAAACAAAACTAGCTACCATATCATGGTGAAAAGACATGACTTCTAACGAAAGGGAATTTTCTTTTGAAACCAGACAAACAAGAGACAAACAAGAGCTCTACCTTTTCTTCAAGAGATACATTTCCAGATCTCTATGGATAATGGAAATCATGTATAGAACTCTCTACATACTATGCTTTGCCCATGTCTGTATACCTACTGTGGTACATAATGTGTAAATTGAGCACAATTTAAACTAACAACTTATTTAAACTAACACAACAGAGACTAACAACTAATAGAATGTTTATGAACAATAACCTGTGGTAAATGCTATACGGATACACGATTGTGGTTTCTCTCCAAATGTTGTTGTCCTATACCTCCCCCTCTTCCGGTGCTTTTTTTTTTTTTTTTTTTTTTTTTTTTTTTTTAGGTTTTTTTGAGAGAATTATGGTCTCAAGAAATAGGTTAGTAAGGTAAGGCCATGAGTTATGATTAACAAGGTTTTTTTCTTTTTTCTTTTGTATGTTTCGAGTTTTGTCTGCGTGTATTTCTGTGCACAATGTGGCTCCTTTTGAGCTTTGAAAGTATGACCCAGTAAACAAATTGGAAGTATGTGTGAACTTTGAGCTTTTGTTATTTCAAGCATGAGGTAGTAAACAAGCTGTATCAGGCTATGAGACAATATCTTTGAAGAGTACAGTCACTCGAAATTTGTTACAAACAGTTGAAATTTATTTTGCCTTTCAAAAATATATTTAGTGCCCATGCCTGCCACTATGGTTCAAAGTAGGCCTGAAAGTCTAGAAATGTAATGTTGTATCCTCAGGCTCTCTTGAAACCTTTGTTTCACCATGTTCTAGAAGTTGGTACTGGAGAGCAGAACTCTGATGCTTTGTCTTCTTTTGAGGCAACTGTTGTATTCCTTTTTGATGTACGGTAGTTACACTTCTTTATCTGAAGTTTGGTGTTTGCATATAGTTTGAGTTACCAGGGTTAACAGTGGTTAGAAAATACTAAATGAAAATTTTTAGAACTAAAGTATTTGTAAATTTTCTATGGCCCCTGTAATCAACACAGTGAGATCTTGCGTTGAGCACGCCCCTGAGAACCCCGCCCCCCAGGAGGTGAATCCTCCTTTGTACAGAGTAGTCACATTGTATATGCTACTTGCTTGTTGGTCACTTAGTAGTTACCTGGTTTTGATACACTTTGGTATTTTCAAGTATCTCTAATACTAGTCTGTTATTGATGGGGGTGGGAGAATCGGCTAGGGTACTTTCTTTATTCTGTAACATGGGAAGGAATCTGCATATATACTCTATTAATGACCTTTTCTTTTCTAAAGACTGCAAAGACTTGACACTAGCAGACATTAACCAGACCCAGGGGTCCAAGAAGTGTGACATCCTAGATGTTCATAAAGAGTATAATGAGCCAGGCAGTGGTGGCACACGCCTTTAATCCCAGCACTTGGGAGGCAGAGACAGGCAGATTTCTGAGTTCGAGGCCAGCCTGGTCTACAGAGTGAGTTCCAGGACAGTCAGAACTACACAGAGAAACCCTGTCTCGAAAAACAAACAAACAAACAAACGAAAGAGTATAATGAAAGGCTAGGGCAAAGGGTGGTATAGAGGGAGGCATGCTTATCACGAGTACAAAGTATTTACAACAATATAAAGACTACAAAGGAAAACTGTGTTTTTTTTTTCTCTATAACAACTGTTGGCTGCGGTTGAAATGCTGAGACAGTTTCCTTAGGTGCTAACCCTCCAGTGACCGTTTCAGATTACCGATCCTCTGAATGAGGTACATTGTAAACATCTGTGTCGGGTTATGTTCCTGTGGAGACATTCAACACATATGATGCTCCAGCATTCCAAATACACAGAAACTCCAGTGTCATGCACCTTGATTTCATCACCAAGAGTTGGTGACTGGATGTGGAGCACAGGCCGTAGGGCAGGATCTGAGATAACTCTCTTTTGTAAACAGGAAGTCTGTCATGGAGGTGCCAACAAGTCTGTCTTCTGGTGTGGATTCCTGGGCTTGTAGTCAGCATCTTTCACATTTGCTATTAAAATATTTTCTCTGTGCATGGGTGAGGGGCTCTCTGCTGTTCCTTCTCTTATGAAGACATCAGCTCTCTCAGATTAGAATCTTGCCTTATGACCCTATTTCACCTTAGTGACCTCCTTAGGCTCTGGGACAAAATAACATCGAGGATTAGAATTCAATATATAACTCATATATTGAGTTACAAATGAAAAATTGTGTCCTAACCAGCAATTAGAGCAGAGAGTGTGTGCCCTGCCTTACAAGAGGCAGCTTCATTTCCTTGATGCCTTGTGAGAACCTACACTGGCCCCCATAGTGGCCAGGTGTTATGAACTCCTAGAATAAGATAGAAATACCAGTTTTCCTCTGAAGACTAGTTTTTCTAGGCAGAGTCTATTGTGTAGCTCTGTCTGTTCTCCAGAGGTCCACCTGCCAAGTGCTAGGACTGAAGGCATGTGCTACCTCATCCAACAAGACTATTTCTTAAGCATCATTAGATCATATTTTTGTGAGCCACAGTCTGCGCAATCAATCCATGGTTAGCTCATTCTTGCTTCTGGTTTCCCCCAGGCCACACTGAGAAGACTCACTGATGGAAACCCTGGGTCTATACTAATTAGAAGCATAATTGGCTTGATGAGGTATATCAATCCATTTCGAAACTATCATGAAATACCTGAGGCCAAGTAACTTTATAACAAAGGAAGGTTTACTATGGCTTGTACTTCTGAAGACCAATATTGAAGGGCTTGCAAGTGGTGACTGTCTGTTATCCTCTTGGTGATCTCTTGGCCTGGTGCTGTTCTGACATTCAAGATGGGGAAGGAGAAATAAAAGAAGAAAAGAGAAGGGAGGAGAGGAGAAGAGAGGAGAAGAGAGAAGAGGAGGGCCCATAAGAACGGAGTAGAGGGGAGGTCAGGTCCTGGTCTCTCTCCCTCCTCTTCTAAAGCTCTTGGTTATTCGATCATGGAAATCTACCCTAAGGACCTCATCTAGATTCTAAACTGTTCTTATAGGCACTACCTCTAGACACCAGATTTAGATTAAGTGTCTACTCTCTTAATACCTCAAATTTTCAATTAAGCTCAACACATGAAGCTTATGGTACAAATGCAGAGCTGTTATACAGTGGCACACATAATACCAGCCTTTGGGGAGTCTGAGGTAGGGTTACCATGAGTTTGAGGCTAGCCTGGGTAATAAAGTGAATTCCATGCCAGTTAGAGCCAAATAGCAAAACTTTGTCTCAAAAAGAAAGATGGGGGTGGGGAGAATGGAAGGGGCAAAAGTAATAGATGGATAGGATAAAAGGAATAGATAGATAGATAGATAGATAGATAGATAGATGAGTCAGACATATTTCAACCATACCTCTTTCATGAAAAGCAATCTCTTTGAGACAGTCACTACTGCTGTTTGTTTGTTTTTAACCAGAATCCTGGTGTGACTTTAACTCACGTCTTTAGCTCCTTTAGAAGCACAGGGTGAAGTCCCACAAGAATTTTTCACCACCCTGTGGAGTTAGTCATCTTTTCGTTTAGTCTATTTTGGATTTGTATGTTTGTGCTGGCTAGTTTTTAAGTCAACTTGACACAAGCTAGGATCACCTGGGAAGATGGAATCTTAACCAAGAAAAACGCCTCAATAGGATTAACCTGTAGATAAGTCTGTGGGGTATTTTTCTTAATTGATGGCTGATAT